TAACAAGAAGCTACAAAATTTGACCACCTTCTTTAATCACTTAATTGTGAAGGATTTGAATTCTAACACGCCCTCTCAAACTTGACTTTGTATGCCAAGCTTTTCTTTGAGTCCGTGAAATAGGTCGATCTTCAAAGGCTTCGTAAAAATGTTTGTAAGTTGATCTTATGTTCTGCAATTAAGCAATTCCATAATTTTATTTTTCACTTGCTATTAAATAAAATGATTTTTTATGTCTATATGTTTGCTTTGGCTATGTGACATTGGATTTTTACAAGTGATATAATAGATTTATTATCGATTTATATTGTAATTGAACCTTCTTGTGCATGATATAACTTGCACAAAATGTTTTTCAATTATATTACTTAACACATACATGATGTTCCGACTATATAGTCTCGCTTCACAAGTTAAGAGAGCAATTATTTATTGCTTCTTTGATAACAATAAAAATATTACTATCCAATATGAAATGCGTATCTATAAGTGCTTTTTTGATCATTTAAGTCTTTACTATAATCACTATCCGAGTAACCAATTAACTCGAATCTTGAGAATATGTATAAAATAAATGATGATCTATTATACCTTTGATATATTTCAAAATTCTTTTTGCTTTAATGAAATGATTTGGCTTTAACTTCTCCATATCTCTACTAACTCTTCCAATTTTGTACATAATGTCCGGACATGTGTAAGTCAAATACCTCAAACTTTCGACCGTACTCTTGAACATTGTTGGGTTTACGCATTTTCTATTTGAACTATTCTCAACTTCATGCTTGCTTTTGCTAATGTAGCTATTGGGCTATAATCCTTTGTTCCGAACTTTAAGATTTGTTCCGCATACCTTTTTTTGTGACATAAATATTTCATATTTCATTTGTTTTACCTTGACTTTAAGAAAGTATGACATTTCACCAATATCTCTCATTTCAAATTCTTTAGTCATATCTTTCTTAAAATCATTAAAGATACTTGGATTATTTCCTGAAAAGATCATATATCCACATATAGGCACACAATCATGATATCACCATCTTGATTTTTCTTCATGTATAAGGCATGGTCATGCAGCCTTTTTGCAAAGCCCTTTTTTTAGAAGTACATATCTATTCTCATGTTCCAAGCTCGCGAGCTTACTTTAATCCATATAAGGCTTTCTTTAGCCAGTAAACTTTGTCTTCTTGTTTCTTTTTAATATATCCCAGTGGTTGCTTGATGTAAACTTCTTATTCTAGGTATCTATTCAAAAATGCCAATTTTATATCCATCTTCCATTTATTTTATGTTGCGATCGCTATGAGAAGTCTAATAGTATTAATTCTTACAACGAGAGAAAACACCTCCTCATAATCAGCTCCTTATATCCGTTTATAGCCTTTAATGACTAATCTTACCTTGTATTTTTTTATTTTTTTCTTCTTGATCAGCCTTTGTATTGTACACCCACTTGAGTCTTATTGTCTCATGTCCTTTCGAAAGACTAGTTAATTTTCATATGTCATTCCTATTGATTGCAGCAATTTCTTCATCCATGGTCTACATAGATTCTGTGGAGTCATAAATGCCATTTAGACTTCTTATTTTTCGGTGCTCCCCCGAATTATCGTTGCTAGTACTACTACTTGATGACATTGATGGTAGTCGATTCGGGAGTTGTTAAAGTAAAACTTTATGGAGAAGTTTGATCATCACTTTGTTCATCTTGTGTGTTGAAGTCATCATCATTAAAATTAGTGATTTCACTTTTTTATCTTTTTTGCTCCATCTTTAGTAATCTAATTTTTTGAATTCAACATCTCGTGAGATGATCACCTTCTTGGTTAAAGGATTGTACAATCTATATGCCTTACTCCTTTGCTCATAGCCAATAAAGATAAACTTCTCACCTTTTTCATCTACCTTTTGTCTTTTTTGGTCGGGAATATATGCATATGCAATGCACCTAAAGATCTTGAGATATCCAATTATCGACTTGCTATCCCTCCATGCTTCATTTGGCATTTTGAATTTTACACTTTTTGTTGGACTCGATTTAGTAAATAAACAAGCACATAGAACAACTTCAAGCATAAAAAGGTTCTCGGTAAGTGCTTTCCTTTCACCGTACTCCTTGCCATATCAAGAATTATGCTATTCTTTTTTCTACAATGCCATTTTGTTATGGTGTATATGAGGTTATCACTGATGAATGATTTCATTTTCTTTGCAAAAACCTTTAAACAATTTTAAGGTATAGTCGCCTTCTCTATCGGATCTAAGTATCTCCGGATATTGCCTACTTTGTATTTCTACCATTGCTTTGAACACTTTAAATTTATCAAGAGCTTCGATTTTTCTTTAAAAAGATGCACCCAACTTTTTCTACCGAAATCATCAATAAAAGTAAGATAATACCTATTTGCACCAAGTGATGGTCTATCAAATGGACCAACTATATCCGAGTGAAAAATCTCTAAAGGCCTTCTAATTCTCCATGATTTTTCAACTTCAAAACTTTGTCTATGTTGCTTTCCTTTAATACAGTGCTTCACACGATTGATCCGGTTGATTAATTTCGAAAGTCCATTCACCATCTTTACTCTCAATAATAACTTCGGACTAGTAAATTCAAGATGATCGAACTCGAAATGCCATAACCATGATTCATCTTTAATGATAGACTTCATGCACTTTAGCACTTTTGTATGAATATCAAGTGTAAAAAGACGTTTATGTCATATCAATTTTAGCAATTAATTCTCCACTTTTGTTGAAGACAAGAGAGCGATCCTTCGAGTGTATGTCATAACCTTTTTCTAGGAGTTGGCTAAGGCTAATGATATTGCTTTTCAAAGCAGGTACATAATAAACATCATGTATATACTTCTTATCTTCATTCTTTAAGATAATCACAAGTTTACCTTTGCCTTTAATTGAAATTTTTGACGAGTCACCGAAAGTAACTTCTCCTTGGATAGTGTCATCCAAATCTATAAACAATTCTTTTCGACCACACATGTGGTTGCTAGCATCGATGTCGAGATACCAAACATTTTTCTTGCACTTTTCATTTCCTCTATATGTTAGGAAAATAGTCGATTTAATTTCTTTGCCTTTTACTGCTACAAAATGATTTGTTTCCTCTATCTTTGGAGTCGATCTCGCATTCATCATTGAAATGGCCATGCTTGTTACAATTATAACATTGCAGCTTGTAATTTATCACCTCGTTATTGAAATCTAAATCTTCTTTGGTTTCGGCTCCCTACCATGACCATATATTTGATAGCCTTCATTTGTTTGGTTTCTTTCGAAAGAGTTTCCACACGTCCACCTTTATAGCTTTCTCTATAGCTACCTCGATTTCCTTTACCTCATCCATAGCTATTGCTAGCTTGATTATCACTAATATATAACTTGCTTTGCAAAGCTTGTTCTAGATTACTAATATTTTTATTCGGTTCATCTCTCGCTCATGATCTTGAAGAGGACCCACAAGCTCATCAATAGAAATTTGTGACAAATCTTTGATTCTTCAATAGCAATGATGACATAATCAAATTTTCTTATTAATGAACGTAGGAGCTTTTCCATCACCCCGACATCATCAAGAGTTTCTCAATTTCCTTTCATATCATTCGTCGTCGTTTTCGGATGAGTGATGTAATAATTGATCTTTTTAGAATCCTATATTTTTAATGTCTCAAATTTAGCTCTAAGTGATTGAAGCCATACATTTTTAGCTTTTTTGACTCCTTGAAGAGATTTCGTAGAATCTCCCTTGCCTCATTTAATGTCTTTGAGTCTAATATTTTTTAAAGGTTGATTCATCAATTCCTTGAAAAATGAAAAACAAGGCCTCCTTGTCCTTTTTGCATGTTTTTTTAAGTGCTATCTTTTGCACATTTGTCGGTGATGCTTTATTAGTAGCATCTTCAAGCTTAATATATCCTTCTTCAATAATCTTCCATAAATCTTGTGAATCAAATAGAACTTTCATATGAATGCTCCAGTTTCCATAATTCATCTTTGTTAACTTCAAGATCCGAGGTTGAATCATATGGGCCATCTCCTCACTTGAAACGTAGACATGAACCCGGCTCTAATACCACTTATTGGAAGCATAATACGCTCACAAAATAAAACTCAAACAATAATATATTGATATATATTGATTACAAGAAAACCTCACACGAAATATCTTCTCTCGGTAGATTGATTCTATTTTCCTCTTCCTACTTACTGCAAGTATATAGCTATTGCACTCTTGCTTTCTCTTGTTCTCTCCTATTTTCTATAATTCATACATATATTACAAACATAAAGGCCATATTTATAGGCAACCTACTCATTTAGAACATCTAAAATTAATTAAAAACCATAAGATTTGACCACCTCTTCGATCACTTAATTATGAATGGTTTGAATTCTAACATGAGTATTGTTGATTGACTTGGTGAGATGATGAGTTTACTCATGTAGTTGAGATCTAAACATCAATGAAGGCCCAATAGCTTAAGTAAGAAAGTGCAATGTCTTATGAATTTATCATCTTTTTTTCCAACTCTCTTTGCTTAATAAAAGAAGGAAAAGCGTAGTTATTACACTCTTGGCTAATCATGTGTTGGAACCAAAGGAACCTTAAACTTACCTTGAAAAGTTGTTGAAATTTTTTAGAGACGAGGGTAAGTGTATTTTGTAATTTTACAATGACATCATTGACAAACTGTCCGGTATTGATTAATTATTGAGCCATGTCATTATCACATGCAAAAACATGTTCAGAATTTGATTAACAGAATTAGCCGACTTATTACAAACCAAAAAATAATATATGGTATTTGAATTGAAAAAATACCATTCTACAATGAACGCATAATAAAAACTACTATCGATCCAATTAACCTTAAAACAAACTGTGAATATAATAGGGAACTAAAAAACAAACTTGAAATACAGGAATTGATAAGGGATGTGGCATATAATGCAATCAAGCACTGGCTTGGTTAGGGTCAAGCAGATGGATCCATCCCTTCTCTCTCTTCCCCACCATCACTTTCTCCTTTTTCCATTCCACCACCCTCCTCCTCTTTATCTTCTTCTTCCTCTTCCTCATCTTGAAATCCTTCATCTTCATCTTCCTCACATCTTCATCTTGAAATCCTTCATCATCCTCTTCCTCTTACTCTTCCTCATCTTCAAATCCTTCTTCATTTTTTTCACCTTCGTCTCTAGCTATCTCTCTCTATTATCCCTTTCTACCTCATACCATCGCTTTCATTTGGCTTGCCATCGACACATATATGCTAGCACAATAAGGAGTGTCTTTTTTGGTTTTTGATGCGACTGTTCATTTCATGATTTAAATTGAAGGCAAAAAAATAAATAAATAAATAAAACCTTTGTCAAAGAAATAAATGCATGCGTGCGATAGTCATTACTCAATGCATGCATGCCTTCCCTTGGTTGGATAGCCAAGCTATTCATGGTACCTGAGAATTTTTACACTTGAAACAAAGCAATCAGATGGTTTTATGAGCTTTTCCGTTTCCGTTAACTACAAGACTGTTGAACTTCTCAAGCCATGCATGTACCAGAAACTTACTGTAGTTCTTGAGACTGGAAGATGTTCATCAGAGTCATGTACCATCCATTTATACTGTAAGTCTTGGTGGATAAGAGTATTGGCTTCTGCGTTCAAGCTACGTTTTTTAATTCCTGCTCTGCTAAAAATCTGTGGAATCAACATACTCAACAAAGTCTGATCATCTCCATAAAAGCTGCTAACTGTAGCATAGCAATTAATTCGTTCCACACTTAGCATTCAACGGTATGAATTGAAGAGAAGCTACATAAAAAGAATGCAAGGATCAATTTGAAATTGGCTTCTTTGTTATGGTTTAAGGTTGAACACATTTCCAGATAAATTACTTAACAAAACTAACATGCTATATGAATTCTGAAGAAGAATTTAACTCCAAATGACAGGAAAGGACTCACAACTGGCATGAAGTTTAAATAATTCTATTAAGCACAACTAAATATGACGCTAGAAACAACACAAACCTATGTCCAGGCCAAAATGAGTAAAGTACATGTCGTCTGCATATCCAAACAACCAACTCTGAGGAGCCTATTTTAAGAGAAAAACCAAATTCTACAACATTAACTGTGTCAAACAGCAGCATTAATTCTTGGTTGTGTTGCAGGACATGCATAGATCCAAGACAATGCCCCCATTAGTATCGAAGAAAGCATGTCGAACTAAGGAAAATTCTGTTGGAGGATTATCAACGCTTTGAATGTTCTTAGTAAAAGATTGGAACTTGAGAACGCTTCTTTCAGTTTCTGTTGTAATTAAGTTCATAGAAGTCCTAAACAGCGATCGTGATGGCATACCCAAGGAGACCTTTTCTATTGTTCATAATAAATATAACACTCATAATAAATATAACACCATCTTTCTCTTCATTTAGAACAAGGAGTTTTTAACTGAATCAAGTAAGGAGGGAACAAGCAATCATATGGAAAAGCTGTGAGGGCATGAACATGCTGTATAGATGCAAACCTCATCATATGGAGAAGCGCCATGCTCACTGGTGTAATGTTGGTAAAGCTGTGAGGGCATGAACATGCTGTATAGATGCAAACCTCATCATGGTCAGATTTCTTGCTGTGACTGACTGTTTCTTTGCAACCGTACTTAATATTTTGGCAGGATATCTAGATTGATTCAAGAACTTTCTCAAAGGACAGGCATTGATTGTTGCAAAGAGCAGGAAGAAAGCAGGAAGAACAAGCTGTATGCCCATTCTCACACTGAAATATGTCCAGAAAGAACACACAAAATTGTTAGACTGACTAGATATACTCTTTTTTAGAAGAATCATGCACATGAACAAGAAAAAAATTAAAGCTCTTGAAACTAAAAACCTAATTCTTCATATAAACTGTTAATTGATAAAACAAACAGCATACTATTTCAATATGAAATATCTACCATTCTCTTCTATAAAAGTATACATCACCATTTATGTATCAACTTTTTCTTTTGATGGAGGATTTACTTATCTTCTTGTTTAAAGAAAACATAAAAAGAAAAGGAGGGGATGAACCACATGACATATACCGGAAAGACAGGGAGGCGTAAGGGTTGGAAGCACATGGTGCAGTCTAGCACTTTTGGGTTAGTAAGTGTAAAAGAGATTGATGATGCGTCTCCTTCAACTCTTTCTACGCTGTTGTTTCGAGACAACATCCTCTTATCTTTCTTGTTGTGCTTGTTGCTAGTTTCTCGTGATCGAGAACGTAGATGAACATCATCTGTTTCTCCTGCGAGTGGAAATGGATAGAATGGATCCATCTCCTCTCCCCTCCCTATCTCTCTCTATATTGTTCCTTTCTTTCCTATCCATCTTTTCATGTTTCTGTTAGAATTCAAAATCTTTTTTAGAATTATCTCAAGCCATAAAGAATTCTTAACCATTAAGAATTCTTAGTCATTAAGCAATTAATCAAGTAATTTCAAAGGTGATGGTCAAAGGAGGTGATGAATGGAGGTAGTCAAAGGAAGTATTCAAAGGAGGTGATCAAAGAAGGTGGTCAAATTTTGTAGTTTCTAATCAATTCTAAATATTTCAAATTGAGGAGGTTAAGTTTACCTATAACTATGATCCTTAAGATTGTAATGTATATATGAAAAATTAGAGAGAATTAGAGAGAAAAAGAGAAAGAGCAAGAAAAAGAGAAATAGATTCAATATATTTAAAGGATATATTGTATGAGGTTTTTTCTTGTAATTAATATATATCAATATATTATTGTTTGAGTTTTATCTTTTGCGCTAATTATGCTCCCAACAAGTGTTGGGACTTCCCTTTATTAATATATTGAATCAAAGACAAACTTCAGATTTCTGACAAGTTTTTTAGAGCTAGTGGCTACCCTTAGACAGAACTCTAGTTTCTTATGGTAAAAAGGTGTTTGCATTTACTAAAAAAGAAGACCTTTGAGATTCTCAAGCTACCTTCCTTTCAGTAACACTTGATAATGAAATTATATGAAATTATTGTTTGTCTACCTCTAGCATTGGTTTATTCCTGCAGCCAATTGCTGCTTTGTTGGACAAAAAAAAAAAAAAAAAAGAAAGAAAGAAGAAAAGGCAAGCCTAGATATAAGATTGATCTGCTTGTAATCTTTATTAAGAAGTAATTCTCTAGTTAATTGGATTCCATGTATAATTAACAGCGGCTCTATACCACATAACTTTTGTAAATGACAGTGAACGTGTTATCTACCTTAGAATTCCATAGATATACTTCAAATTTTCTCTCACTGATAATGATCTTTCTTGGCAGAAAGAACATAACCGCATACATAGAAATGGGAGTAAAAAGTGACAATTTTCGAGTAAATGGTTGAATGCCTTCCCCTTGAGGATCTTTTCCACTAAATAAGAATTTTTGTACAATCTATTTTTTAGTAAGAATATATATACAGCTAATGCACTAACTACTAATATTCTAATATAGGTAAGAATATATATAGCTAATACATTCTACATAACTTTCGAGCATAATCTTTGTAATTGAGATCCATAATCTTTGCCCTTGATATTCCCCCTCAAATTGATGCTGGAGGATCAAAAAGCATCAATTTGTCAACAAGAAACTGACGTCGTTGTCAGGAGAGAGCCTTAGTGAACACATCAGCAGTCTGCAGATCAGTGGTGATATGAGGAAGAGAAATAGCACGGGCATCATATACTTCGCGAATAGAAGTGACAATCCACTTCAATGTACTTAGTCTGCTCATGAAATCTTGGATTTGCAACAATTTGAATGGCACTAATATTGTCAGCATAGAGTGGAGTCGGCTCAATTTGAGGAAACCCAAGCTCACCAACAGTTCCCAAAGCCAAAAAACTTCAGAACATGCAGATGACATCGTACGATATCAGTTTCAATAGAGGACTTCGACACTCGATCTTACTTTTTGCTTTTCCAAGAAACAAGAGAATTACCAAGAAACATGCACCAACCAGTAATTGAACGTCATGTGTCTGAACACCAACCCAATCAGCGTCACTATAGGCAACCAAACAAATAGGAGAATCTATAGAAAAGTAAAGACCACGAGTAAAAGTTCCTTGGAAATAGCAAATAAGGCGACGTACAGTAGCCAAGCGAAGGTGCATAGGAGCCTGCATAAATTGGCTAGCTTATTGAACGATGAAAGAAATATTAGGCTGAGTAATAGTCACATAGTTCAAGCTCCCCACTAGTTGTCTGTATAAGGAGGGATCAGAGAGGAAATCATCGATGTCACGACATTATTTAACATTCACTTCCAATGGCATGTCAATAGGATGACCATCTTATAGTCCTGCCAAAGCAATTAAATCCTGGATGTATTTATGCTAGTGTAAATGTATACCAACAGGAGTAGAATGTACCTCAAGGCCTAAAAAGTATTGTAAAGAACCCAAGTCCTTCATGTGAAAGGAATGCTACAAGCGCTCTTAAAGTTGGGAAATCAATTGAAAATCAAACCTAGTAATACAATATCATCGACGTATATAAGAAGCAAGACAATGCCTTTATCAGTCTTGTAAAGAAACAGAGATGAATCATATTAACTTTGGGCAAAGGAGAAACTAAAAAGAGTAGAGAAAAATTTATCAAACCAAGCATGGGGTGCCTGTTTCAAACCATAGAGCGACCGTTTTAGCTTGCAAACACTAGAGGATGTTGTAGAAAATAACCTCAATGGTGGAGTCATATAAATCTCTTCCTTAAAGTCTTCATGTAAAAAGACATTCTTGACATCCATCTGTCGCAGTGACCAACCCATAGAGGCGACAATAGCGAGAACAAGTGACACAATTGTCATCTTTGTGACAGGTGCAAATGTATCCTCATAGTCGACACCATACTCATGTTGATTACCAAGTGCTACCAACCTTGCATTGTATCTTTCAATAGTCCCATCAGACCATAGCTTAATAGAAAATACCCACTTAAAAACCAATTAGCTTAACATCAGCAAGACAAGGAACAACATCCCAAGTATGATTTTCCTGAAGTGCCTGAAGTTCTTCTTGCATAGCTTTTACCCAACATGGATATTTAATAGCTTGAGAATAAGAGGTAGGAACTTCAGTATTAGCTAAAATTACAAAAAACCCATACCTTTTAGGATGATGAATGATACGAGAAGATCTGCAAAGAGTCATTAGAGGAGGTGCTAGATCAGTGTCGGGAAGGATTTGTGATGAAGAGGGTTGTCATTTCTGATACAACATACCAGGTTTGAAATGCTCAATTGTTGTGGAGACATCATCAAAACTAGGAAGCATGATACCTTTGGAATGAGAGAGTTTGCTAAAAATGGTACTCATGTTCAAGGAAAATCACATTTCTTGAAATACGTAGATGATTAGCAGCATCATCATAACATATAAAACCTTTGTGTATAGTGCTATAACCCATAAAAGCACACCTTACTGATTGGGCTGTAAGTTTGTGGCACTCATGAGGAGGTAAGTGAACAAAGCAAACACATCCAAATGTATGCAGCTTATGGTAATCAAGATGCTTATCATAAAGACGATAATAAGGAGAATCAAAATTTAATTATTGAGATGGTAATTGATTTATCAAATATACTACAGTAGATAAAGCTTCAACCCAAAACTTTGATGGAACGGAAGAGTCCAAGAGTAATGTGAGAACCACATCAAGCAAGTGACGACTTTTTCTTTCTGCCCCTCTTCCCCCCGTTTTGTTAGGGGGGATAAGGACATGATCACTGAGATATAATACCTTTTTGCTATAAAAAGGCTTGAACTCATGCGATGTATATTCATCGCCATTGTTAGACCATAACACGTTAATGCAAATCAAAAATTGTGTCTCAATATAAGCCAGAAATATTTGAAAAGCAGTGAACACTTCAGTTTTAGTGCATAAAAAATATATCCATGTGAAGTGACTGTAGTCATCAATGAAGCTCACAAAATATCTATACTGCACATATGAAAAAAACAGGTGTAATTGAAAGAGTTATTTATGATCCAAGGATAATAATACTGTTATTGAAGTATGGTATTTATATGTTACAGTAGATGCACTACACAAGGACTCGTTACAGAGACAAGAATTATAGCTGTGTAAGGAGTAAAGATATACTTGCATAAAGGATATGCATGAGAAGTGAGAGCCATGCAGTGATACGTAAATAAGAAACAGAGATGTATATGGACACGCAAGGCTTGAAGTATATCCTTATCATCCTCCCTCAAGTTGAGCAGCAGAATGCGAGTCAACTTGTTCCGTAGTAAGAAAAATTATCGTTTGGATAACGGTTTTGTCATAATATTTGCGATTTGGTCATTGGTGGAAATAAAGTGCATCGTTAACTCCTTCTTGTTTACCTTGTCTCCGACCAAGTGAAAGTCGATTTCCGGGTGTTTGGATCGTGCATGGAAGACAGGATTTGCAGCAAGATAGGTAGCCGAGATATTGTCACACCAAATGGTGGGTGTTGCGAAAGTGGTGATGTGTATTTCCTTTAAGAGAGACCGAATCCATGTGACCTCGGACACTGTTGTAGCTAAGGCACGATACTCTACATCCGTGGAAGACCGGCTACTCGTCCTCTATTTCTTTGAGCACCAAGACACAAGATTTCCACCTAGGTAAATTGCATACCCAGGTGGTACTTTTTCTATCATCTATATCTCCACCCCAATCCGCATCACTATAGGCATGGAGAGCCAATGTAGTTGCTGGTCGGAAGTGTAAGCCATGATCAACTCGTGGTGCCTAAATAGCGTAAGATCCTCTTAACAGCAGCACCGGTGTTCATTTGTGGGAGCATGCATAAACCGGGCCACTTTGTTGACGAGCATAAGAGATGTCCGGACGTGTTAATGCAAGGTATTGGAGCCCCCCCACAACACTACGAAACAAAGTAGGTTCCGCATACATTGTCCCAGCCTTCTTCAATTTTGCGGAGACACAAGCGGGGGTTGAGATGGAGCTTGCTTCATGCATGTTGGCCCTGCGGAGGATATCTTTAATATTCTTGGTCCGAGTTAAAATCAATCCTCCCTTACACTAATGAGCCTCAATGCCTAAGAAGTATGACAACTTGCCTAGGTCTTTAATTGCAAAGTGCTGCTGAAGTTGGGTTTTAAAAAGCTTGATGAGGTCGCCATTGTTGCCCGTTACAAGGATGTCATCTACATAGATTAAGCGAGTAGACAATATCCTAACCCTTTTTGTAGATGAATAGGGACGTGTCGACCGTGAGCCCTTGAATCCAAGTTGAAGAAGGTGGTTGGTGAGGCATTGATACCGT